CTATAAATATATGCACATAGATCTATTTCTCCATCCTCATATATAAATATATTTACATATGTACATTATCCATCTTTTCTAATGGGTGCTCTCCCACCCTAGGTATTTTCATAAGCACGCTATGCTAATTTTTAAATGTTGTTGTTTGCATAAGAGAAGAGGACTGCAAGTCATATTCTAGTTTTCAGATTTTCTATACACACAGGTTTTCTTCAATGGCCCCCCTTCCTCCTCTTATGCAGGTATATGCACAACTTCCAGCGTATTCAAGCTACAATGACCCACACTTATGGTTGGTTGTTTTTTAGTTTGTGCATGTGTTATATGGTGCAGGACCAGGCAATGTTTCCCTCTGTTGTCCATAGAGTCATTATGAGTCAGAACTAACGCTATACTACCTAACGACAAATGTTAGTAGGATGTACTATATATAGTGTTGCAGCTCATAATTTGTGGATGTACTCATTTGCAGATGTTCACTTGCAGGTAAATGTTATGATTTATAAAGATAATAAAATAGTTAAATATAAAAAGAAAAGAAAATTTACTGATACTAAAACACAAAAAATAATGAAAACTTTTTTTAAAACCCCGAGCTATTCAAATTGGGCCAGAACCAACTTACAGTGGAGTTGTTGAAACAGAACCTCGATTGTACGTGGGGGCTAGGCCCCAGGGAAGAGACCCAACTCAGTCCATTCTGGCATCTCAGGACCTTCCAGAGTTTGGACCTCCTTGGAGGGCCTGCGTGGGACGTGGAGCTTGCCGGAGCTTGTCGTGTGTGTGAGATCAAAGGACAAGAGGAGCTGGCATAGCCCAGGGCACGGGAAGGCTCTGGGCTGGGCTCGCCTTCTTCTCCTTAGCGCAGACTGTCTTGGGAACTCCATGTTCTTCTTTATAGAAATGTGATCGTGCTCTGTGACCTGTTATATTCAAGAGCCCTTCTGAGAGGCACAGGAGGCCTGTGGAGACAGGAATATGATGTGGAAGTTGGGCTTGGAAGGATGGACTCTTAAAATATGC